CAGGGAGCAGACATCGTCCCTACGTTTGTCTTCGGCGAGAAATGGTTATACAAGTGAGTAATCTTTTGTTCTTGTGCTAGCCCCCTGCGACCGGATTCTAACGCGTGTGCTGTTTCTAGCAAGTGGACCCCACCCAAAAGTGTGACTGACGTTTTCCGAAAGATACTCGGCATCCCGGTGCTTATCTTTTGGGGCAAATTCTGGTGGATGCCCAAGGCTCCAGCCGAAGGGAAGCGCTTCGGACTTGTGTACGGAAAGCCCATTACCACTAAGCACACTCCAAACCCGACCGCGGAACAAGTTCGTGCGGTTCATGCGAAATACGTGGCGGAAATCAAGCGGATCTTCGAGCAGTACAAGGCGCAATTCGGCTACGAGGATGACGAGACCCTGGCTATCATCTAGCTTTGATCGAGCACTCTCAAAGAGGTACGCGTGGTATCAGGGTTCTCAAGCTCTTTTTCTTTGAATGAATGAGTGTTTGGGCAAAAGTCACAGTTATCTTTTATAAAAAAAATGCGGTTCAGTCTACTGGTTTCTATGGGCTACCTGTTTGCTTGCCACCCTTGCAAGTGGCTTCAGTAAATACCATCATACGAAAGGAACAAGGAATTTTGTTGACAACAACCGAAATTTGACGAAGTTGCGCAAGGGGTTTGAGAAGACTCGACATGTCGACAAACACGGCAAGTGCCCCGAGATGTTGAATTGACGCAGCTTGGTCTTCTTACATTAAGGAACTGTTTTCTGATGAAGTTTCTTCAGCCTGGGGGTCTTCTAGAACACACTGACTATAAGTGACAGTCTTGACCTTGCACGAACTTCCATTCTCACAGTCGGTGGTCCAGCCAGACCCACCGCATTGTCCCCAAGGTTCGGCTACTTCCTTGACACACAAACCATGATAATCGTCGTCATCCACGCAGATCAGATCATCTGCGCACGCGTTGCCACTGTCTTGAGGATCGCATTGCTGCCACTCGGCTGACGGGTAGTCATGATCTCCAGTCGATTCGCACGAGGCCCATCCTTTATTTTGGCGCGAACACGTAGTCCCGTTCACGCAACTCACATTCCAGCCCAGCCCTCCACACTGACCCGACTCCTCCACAACTTTCAAGTAGCAGAGGCCAAAGTGCTCGACGTCCGGCACACAAGCGAGTCCTTTATCACATTCAATTTCGGTACCATTCTGCGACCGACATTGTTCCCACATTCCAGGCGCAGCATTTGAGACACCGATCCCGATCGTCGTTAGTGTGTAAAGCTTCATTGTTGAGAACCGCCTGGGGGACACGTTCAGCCCGTGCAAGTTGGCAAATACTTCTCGCATTATCGTCCTTATTTTGGTCTCAGCG